TTCTTCATAAATCACCCTGTCAAGTTGCTATGGTGAAGGCAACCCAAAAGGACCATGCACAACCGGGTCAAGTACTTACCAAATATAGTTACTGGCTTAGACACTAATCCAACAATTTGGAGCAGTGGACTTCGAGGACGAAGTCTGATTCAAGTGGGGGAGAATTGTAACATTCATTTTCGGGTATGTCTCTTCTTAACCCTAAGTGTGGATTCCTTTCTTTTTGGCCTTCAATTTAGTACGCGGGATGTACAGGGTGGTACGCTTAGCGTACTAGCCCTGAGTGATCTCGCCTTTGGTCCACGTACGTTGGGCGTACATTGTGTACGCATGTCATACATGTGGTTAATGAAACCCTAATTTTTAGGGTATTGCACCCTATTTAAGTCATATGATAGCCTCATTTTGTCATGTTTAGACAACCCCCATCCCCTCTTGTCCAGAAATCGAAACCCTAGTGAGTTTTTGAGAGTTTTGATCCATAAAGAGTGATTGTTGGTGCTTGTGAAGGAGAAGAAGAAGTGAACCATGAGGATCTGAAATTTGTTCATCATTTGCTATTCTTGTGAGAGAAAAATCTTCCATATTGCTAATTTATGATGTAAGATCTAGTTTTGGTGGCATTTTGTGCTTTTTGAGTCCATGGAATGATTGTTGAGCTTCTTGATTCACTCCAGAAGTGATTGATAGTAGATCTAGGGTTCATTTGGTCCCTTTGTCCATAAAAATGCAAGCTTTGAGGTGTTTATGGACTCATGCATGTGTTAAGACCCTTTGTAAGTTCTTTTGAGCTATAGAACCCCATTAAGCCATGCATGTACGTAAAGTTGTCAACTTTATGTGATAAACCACCTTAAGGAAGTCAGATCTAGTTGTTGGGTTGAAGTCTTAACCAATTAAGAGCTTAATGATGGAAGTTGGCCAAGCTGGGGAGTACGTTGGGCATACAAGCTGGTACGTTGTGCGTACAAGCCCTAAAGCGAGTACGCTAAGCGTACGAGTTGAGTACACCCTGCATACTCTGCAGTGAGCTTCAGATTTGTGGTCTTCTCGGTATTGGGCCCATGTTGGACCTTAGTAGTCTTGGGCCTTGTTGGGCCATCAGAATCCTGTTTTTGGGCTGCTGCTATTTTGTTGAACTCTTTTGGTTTAATGCCCATGAAGGGATTTGGGCCCAATTTGGAAAATTGGGCCATATTTGGGCTTTGGGTGATTATTTTGGAATTTAGGCTTTTTGGACAGTTGGTTTGGGCCTTGGCCTTGGGCCAAGTTAGGGAAAGGGTAAAAAGAAATTTTACCCTCGTTTGGACTCTTAGTGTGAGTCGGGATCCAATTATTAATTAGATGTTATTTTGTGATTATAGCGCGGGGATTTTAGCGGGCCATCAGTCAGAGATTTATCTGTGAAATTCAGCAGTCTAAGGTGAGTTTCCTCACTGGGTTTAGCAGGTCGAAGGCACCAATGCCGACCCATGATTATTATGTTAGGATGATAGAAGTCTGCGTGACTCTTGCATGTGTTATTTGCTGCTATGTATACCGAGCGGGGCTTGATGTCGGGCGAGGCCCAATGACTGTATTGTATGTTATTGTTTTTGTGATTATCACATGTGTTACCATGATTATATGTTTATATGTTTATTATGTGTATCGGGCGGGGCCCGATGTCAGGAGCGTCCTAATGAATGACAGATTTGTAATCCGAGCGGGGCTCGGTGTCGGGTGGGGCCTGAGACCGAGTGGGACTCAATGATGGGTGAGGCCTAGTATGTGTTTATATATGTATGGTATAGGGTATTTCTGGGAACTCACTAAGCTTTGAACTTACGATTTTCAGTTTATGTTTCAGGTACTTCAGGATCGAAAGGGAAGAGCCCTGGATGATTGCAGAGCACACACCATATTTTTCCGCATTTTGAGATTTACTCTGATATGATATGATGTAGTGAGATACTTTGGTCTATTTGGATTGTATGACAATGTTCTGAAATAAAGTTTTATTTAAATTAAAAATGAAGTTTTTGGGTCTTATTTTCGGGATGTTATATGGTATGTGGTATTTTGGGAAACTCACTAAGCTTTGTGCTTACGGTTTTTATGGTTATGGTTTCAAGTACTTCTGGTTCGAAAGAGAAGGGTCCGACTTGATCGCAACACATCCCCCGATGTTTTCGCATTATTATGATTTTGGGATTGTACTCTGATAACTGTTTTCTTATAAAGTACTTTTGAATAATTAGAAAAAGGAGAATGAATGTTGACTTAAAGATAACTAATGTTTTGGTTGAATTAAAAATGAAAATTCTACCTCAAAAATTTTATGTCGTTACACAAAGATAGATGGAGGAGACTCATATATGATATGTTTGTTGATCAATATGACATCACCAGAGGCAAATATACGCCTTCTTAGCAAATAGGGAAAAAAATCTTCTTAAATCGTAGACCCCTCTTCAATTTAATCTCATCGAATCAAAACCCAAAAGCAGCAAATCAGAACTCCCACTTTAGACAGGTACAATGAAGAGATGGATGTATGAAGATGTAGTAGAGGAGGAAGGGACACAGTGATGAAAGAGGCATCCGATGGTATCCAAGGTTAATTAAGTTTTTCTAAATTCTAAAAAATATATTGTTATTTATATGGATTTTTCTGATTCGATGGAATATTGTGCAAAAAAGAGTTTAATGATCAAATCGGGTAAATACCAAAAGTTTATTGTGCTACAGTGATATTTTTCCTATAAACAATAAACACAATAGAAACAAAAATTAATCCTTCACCAAGATTGAACCAAGGATCACAAATTCCACAACTACAAGCAACAAGGGCGATCGCAATAACTACATTAATGGTTTCATTTGAAAAAAACTACTGAAAAAATCACTCGTCGAAAACTTCTGTTTGCTTAGAAATAGCTACATAACGACCACCATGAATAATGTCGATAATAATAGCTACATGATCTAGGATGTTTTGTGAACCAACACTTAGCGGGAGCACATCGACTAACATTGTTTACTTATAAAACTAATGGTAACACCATGTATGTTTGCATTGAGAAAAGTATTGTTTAGCATAATAAGACAATCTTCCGTTACCGCAAAATCTGATCCAACATTAAATGACTTTTGTTATTAAAATAGTATTTATAAATCAATGAGTATTATTCAGTGTGCGTTAAAAAATCGTATAAATCCGACCTAGCTTTACTATAATAATAATAATAATAATAACAATAATAATAATAATAATAACAATAAGTTATAAAAATGTACAATAAATAAAATTAAATTTAGCAAAATTTTACAAAAAAAAGTTGATTTAATGAAATCCTAATTGACTTGATTAATGTTGGGTACAACTTAGCAATAAAAAAGATGTGAATAAAACCATTCAAATTATATTACACAATATTTTTTTAACAGATGAATATATATATATCTATTATAGATATATTATATATAGATATATATATATATTATATATAATATAGATATATATATAATATATATATGGGGAGAAGTTCAATAGAGAACCATAATTAACCAAGGAATCAAGGAACCAATCTTTTTTCAACTTTAGAACTTATTTTTTATCAAAAAAAAACTAAAATACAGAAATTCATAACTTTTTATCCTTTTTCCAATGATATCAAATTCAATTTTTTTTTTACGTCAATTCACAATGTGAATCTTTGAAAATTCACAATGTGAATCCGGATCACACGGTGAATCCGAAAAATTTTTTCACATTCACAATGTTAATATATGAATTTAGATATTTTTAGATTTTTTTTTTCGATAAAGAATAGCTCTAGAAATTGAAAAAAAGATTGGTTCCTTGAAGAACCAATAATTATGGTTCTCTATTGAACTTTTTATATATATATATATAGATATATATATAGATATCTATATATATATATATCTATATATCAAGGTTGTAGAAAACGCTCGACGTAGGCTCGGTGGTAGACTGGGGTCAATGGATTAACCGGCTAGGCGGGGATTAATCGGGGACCATTAATTATTAAAAAAATTATTAAAATATAAGATTAATTCTAAGAATATAAGTAAACACATTAACAAATAATAAATATGTAATACATAATTTGTTCTTCTTTTCAATTTGTAACATCCTTCATGGAAACTAACAATATACATATACCAGCATAAGTCTCCCCTCTTAACAACTCTATCTTCGACAAAACCGAACACATAATCAGGTTTAGAGATGATCGTCCCTGTCCGATCCAAATTATCAAACCAGCCATGGATGTTTATGAATCCTTTCTCTGAAACAGTGTGGGGAAGAAAGAGATGCAAAATTGGTTGCAACACTTGAAAACCTCACTTAGACATTTTATTGAACACTCGGTGGGCAGAAGAATAAGTGTCCGATTTGCACCCGTGAGACTTTATAAATTTACCCAGGTATAACCTTAAAGAAGATGGAGCAGCCGCTGGAAGTAAAGGGACTTAAGAAACAATCTGCAATTGCCAATTAGAGTACCAGTTTGTATCAGCAAATTAACGTAATACCCTTTAGAAATAATCAGCAAACATGTTCTAGTTTATCAATTTAGTTGACAACAGGGGACATTGAATGAGTAAATGCCTTTCATATATATTTTGTATCAAACATTCAGACCTGAAACTGTTAAACTTATATATATGTTTCTAGTTCATCTTTCACTTGGAAAATTGGGAAAACAATGATAGATCAAAATAATTAGATATTAGTTCATCTTTCCCAATTGATTCCGGTTCATGTATCGGAATCCATGAATTCGTGTATCTGAATACATGAATTCGCCACCTGTTTTCTTTCCAAAATAAAGTCTAGAACTTACAATTTGTACAGAAAATAGACGAATGAGAAGTGGAGACTGGAGACTAAACCTGAAGGAGAAGTCGGATGATGAACATAAGGCATCGAAGCCTCACACAGAAGCTTCAGCAGGCGACGACGACCTTCAGACAGACCGGTGTGCTTCAGACGACCTTCAGGCGAGGAAGATGGCGGCGTCGTGAATGGAGAGGAAGATGGCGACGCCGTGAAAGAAAAAGAAGATGGCGGCTCGTTCGTTCCTTCCTTGAGTCCGAAAGAGAGAATTTCAAAAGAAAAAAAAAGACTGAATGCAATGGAAAGGGTAATCGGAAGGAACCCTACGAATCAATTTTTACATTTTGACAATTTAGCCCCTGAAAGTTTTATAATTAAGTTGACATTCGTTGACCGATTAGAGCGCCTAGACCCGCCTAGCTCCGATAATCTCCGTCTTTGACCGACTTTGACCACGTCCGATTATAGAGGCCGATTAGCTATAAACGTCTTCAGTTGAGGACTGCCAAGCGCCTAGGCGCCGATTAATCGGCCGCCTAGGCCGATATATACAACACTGATATATGTATATATATATATATATATATATATATATATATATATATATATATAGGGTTAGGTTCATGTGAAACAGCCTAATTTTGTGAGACCGTGAGACGCAATCCTAGCCACTTATTTTGTTGATAAAAAAAAAATTAAGATGCAAAATAATTGAAAATTTTCGAATTTTTTTAAAATTTTATTTTCGTCATTTATATTTTGCAAAAAAAAATTTAAAAAAATACCAAAAAAATAAAAATAAAATATCTTTTTTTTACATATTCTAGTAGATCATTAGAATATTTAACGTGTTTTTTAAAAAAAAAAGGGTAATTTTTTTTAGGTAATTAAAGTGACGAAAATAATAATTAAAAAAAGAATTTTCGGATTTTTCCTTTTATTTGCATTTTAAAATTATTTTTAGATTTGTTTTCACGATTTCACAAAATTAGCATGGTCTCAAATCAACCTGCACAAAATTAGTTTTTCCTTTTAAAAAAAGAATTTTCGGATTTTTCCTTTTATTTGCATTTTAAAATTATTTTTAGATTTGTTTTCAGGGTTTCACAAAATTAGCATGGTCTCAAATCAACCTGTACAAAATTAGCATGGTCTCAAATCAACCTGAACATATATATAATATATATATATAGTATATAATATAAGATATATAGATATATATATATATATAGATATATAGCGAGAGAGAGAGAGAGAGAGAGAGAGAGAGAACCATAATTAACAATGAACCAATGAACCAATCGTGAGCGTCGGAAATCATAATGATCAACGACCAAGGAAATAGATATAAACTTGTAAATTGGACGCACACACACACCAGATTTTACCAAAAAATCCACCTCCTTACCAAAAAACTCATCTCTTTTTTTTTTCGTTTAAAATATTTTTTAGGCCACATTTTTTATCGAAAAAAAATCGAATATATTGTTGTTCTCGATTTTTCGTTCTCTTTCCATAGAGATCCATGATTATATATAAAACACGAACTTTTTTTTCGAAAAAAACCCACAACATTTTTTTATTTTTTCAATATTTAAGATTATTTTTATATAAAAAAAAACTAATTATACCAAAAAATATTAATTTTTTGTACTCTATTAATAAACATCAACACCGACTAAAAAAAATCTCGATTAGTGTAGATTCACACTGTGAATGTAAACTGTAAATATTTCAATTTTTAACATTCACAATGTGAAAAAGCTCGATCAGTTCAGATTCACATTGTCAATCTGACTTGCTATTATGCATACTATGAATCTGAAAAGGTTCACAAAAAAAACCTCGATCAGTGTAGATTCACACTGTGAATCTAAAATGTAAATATTTCAATTTTTAACATTGACAATGTGAAAAAGCTCGATCAGTTCAGATTCACATTGTGAATCTGACTTAGTATTATGCACGCTATGAATCTGAGAAGGTTCACAATGTGAATCTGAACAGGTTCAGAATATGAATCTGAACAAGTTCACAATGTGAATCTGAACTGAAATATCGTTTTTTATACGAATATGAATGTATGTTTAAAAAGTACAAAAAAACATGAATTTTGATATATTTATTAATTTTTTTCTATAAAAAAATAGACCTTAACTTTTTAACAAAAAAAATGAAGTAGGTTTTTTTCGAAAAAAAAAAGTTCGCTTTTTTATATATATCATCATGGATCTCTTTGGAAAGAGGACGAAAAATCGTGAACAACGGTATACTCGGTTTTTTTTTTCGATAAAAAACATGGGCTAAAAAAAATTTTAAACGAAAAAAAGGAAGTGAGTTTTGTTATAATCCGGTGCATGTGCGTCCATTGTAAAAGTCTACAACCCTTCCTTTTGCCGTTGATCGCTTTAAATTTCGACGCTTTGATTGGTTCTTTGGTTCCTTGATTAATAATGATTATGTATTGAACTTTCTATATATATATATATTATATATATATATATAATATATATATAATATATATATATATATATATATATCTATAATATAATCTTTTTTGTTATTAGCTTTAAATCATTTATTATTTTAGTTTCTTCTATAATTAATTTAGTTGTTAATGATTTTATCATATCATTCATTATATATAATATATAGCTATATATATCTATATATATATATCTATCATATATGAATCTTTTTTGTTATTAGCTTTTAATATCATTTTATTATTTATTTCTTCTATAATTAATTTAAGTTGTTAATGATTTTATCATATCATTCATTACATATTACTTGCCAAGTTGGCATAAATATGAATATAGTATTGTTTGATCGTTTTATTTTTATCCGCACAATAACTTAATTGTCATCGGATATACGTTTTTCTATATATCCTTATAAAGTGGATTTTCCCCCTTGTTATATCCATTAGGCTTTATAAAAAGCTATAGATTGAGTAATCTAAAACAGGATATTATCCTTATAACTAGAAAAGATTCTCCGGCGTTGCCGGGGTCGGAAGGTATTGCTTTGTAAAGTAAAGTAGCATGTTGGTTGTTTTTTGTCCGTTAATGTGAGGGTAATTTGGTCTTTTCAGGTAGTGGGACTAAATTTGTCACCATGGGTAAACCATATGGACCATTTATGTAATTTTGGCGGTGGTGGTGGTGGTGGTGATGACAGATGGTGGGTGGGTTTATGATATTTGGTGGGTATTTTCTAATAAATAAACATTAATTTAAAACCAAAAAGAGAATGTTAAATCTGGTAAACCATAGGGACCAATCGTGTAATTTTGTCTAACAATAATAATAATAATGATGACGGACCATTTCTGCCAAAAGACAAAATACTAATAATATGTAATAAAAGGCGAGAGTTATGAAAAATTCAAACCAAAGTGAAAGGGTTGTTTGTGAACAAAAACATAAAGATAAATGGTCAATGTTGTAAGTTGAAGTACCAAAATTGACAAAAAAAAAAAGGTGTCACTTTACTTTACTGTTAAAATCTTTCATAACTTTAATATATATATAATAATGGATTTCCTTAGATATTTGTTGCATGTTCTTTTTTAACCCTACAATTCATTGTCATAAAGAAAGAAATCACATTTTCATCATAATACATTTAATTGTTTATTATTAGAATATCTCCAACTGTTCACATATGTTATTTGTTAACCCTACAATTCATTTTCATAAACAAAGAAATCATATTTTCACCATAATACATTTAAGTTCTTTTTAACCCTACAATTCATTGTCATAAACAAAGAAAATCATATTTCACCATAATACATTTATTTGTTATTAGAATATCTCCAACTGTACACATATGTTATCACTTGAAGTTCATTCTACTAACTTTATTTTTAATTAAACGACTACTCCAATAGTTAGTTTTTTTGAACGACAAAAGATTCGATAAAACTAGCAAAAAGCTAGAAAAAAAAAGAACAATTACAAAATAGCAACCACAGGGTCTGTCCCAATTAATCGAGGTCCTACGTCTATTACTACACCAAAAAAAAAAAACGAATGAGAAACAATGGAATCAAACAAAGTAGATTTCTTTTGACTATGTACGTCAAACAACAAATCATTCTGAAAACGTCAAATATACCACCAAGTCACCAAAAATACATATTTTAGGACCTCCTTAGCCTCCTTCCTTATCCGTAAAGCATCAATATTTTATTTATAAGTTTAATTAATTTATCTTTACCTATAGTTAGTTTTTTTTAAATTTATTTATAAGTTTAATTTATTTATCTTTACATATCTATTCTATAAAATCTCCTTATTTAATTAGTTGTATTTTAAATACTTATTATATTTTATTAAGGGGAAAAGACAATTATAATATTTTTTCTTAATTGTTTTTCACAAAATAACCAAAGATTTAGACATTTTCCATAAACTAGACAACTAGAAATATTTTAAAAAATTATCATAGTTTTTTAGAATTCTTATTATAGTTAGATTTAATTGTCACTTTGTCTTATAATTTAGTGTTTGTAGTATTTTAATTAAGTGTTTTTGTTTTTCAATTTAATTGTCGTTTTTAGGATTTTGATCTTATTGTAGTGTTTTTTTTTAATTAAATGTTGTTTTAATTTTATTTTACATTTTTTTTTTGTTTTAAATCACTAAAAGTTAAATTATCAAAATAAAAAAATGAAAAATATAGAGAGTTGAGAGATACGAGAAAGATGAGTTTTCATATGTTGTGGAATAAAAAATATGAAAGATTACGGTTAGAGAAAAATTGACGCGACAATAATATAACAAATGAGTAGTGTGGGAGGAGTGAATACCAACCACCGTAATCGTTAAAACCCGAACTCAGGCTAACATGATTGCTTGTACTAAATCCAACTTATGTTCGTTCCATCCGATTTTCATTTATTATAATCTGGCCAAATTTTTAATAATTTTTTAAGAATTTGGTCAAATTGTTCCCAAGAATTTTTCAATTTCAATTTTATATTTTTTCCTTAAAATTTAGTTATCTTTTACAACTTTTTATGATTTTGTTTTCTGCAAAATCTTTTTTTGAAAATTTTCTTTCTCTATTAGATTACATTTTTTATAATACATATAATTACATAATTACTAGTGCAAGTAGTAATTATGGCTTCTCCACTTAATTCCTAGCTTCCATCAGAGAACAAAATCATTAGATCGCTTCATGGACTGTATCTACGGAGCACTGGAGCATGTTCTGATGATCAAGTTAGATCGTTGTGTATGAGGAGATGGTTGGGTCTTGGGTCGACCTAGTTTACGCCTAGCTAGTCAGGGGCTAGTTTGTGTGCGCTAAAGGAGCCATGTCATGTGCACTTTAGAGACCTGACAACACAGCCTAGCCCACGGCTAATTGGGATGGAAGCTGACCTAAGCCTAACCTAATTCACCGACCTAGATTTATAAATAAAACACCTCCTCCTCCATTGGGAGGATCTTTCACTCTCAGACATGAGCCTCCGCTGTATACATACACTCTTCCCACCAAGATGTATCTGTTAGATGCATTTTATATGCATCTTTTAACATATTTTTCTCAGTATTTTCTTATAAAATGCTAACTATCTCCATTGTATTTTTATAATTTATGTATTTTTCATTATGTTCATAGAGCCCCGTACTACTCACTTTTGTTATGATTTTCAGGGCAAAGTAGAATGGAATGCGAATTCGACACTTTAAGGATGCATTTTATGAAGCATTGAAGCTTAATTGGAGCTGGAAACTAAAGATGGATGCTGGGGAATGATTAGAAGCAACTTAATTGGAAGAATTACAATCAATCCGCGAGAAAAAGGAAAAACATGATCGTGCTTTCCCACAAAGCACGATCGTATTTATGCTTCGAGGTTTTGTTGGAACACAAAATCCATCTGAAGATTTTTGACAAAAATGCGATTGTGTTTCCCCTTAAAAAACGAGCATGTTTTCTTTTCGAAGTCGTAAAAAGTTCAAAAATAGCAACACTTACATGTGAAATGGGCCTTAGTTGTCATTTTACATATATATTGGGCCCGAGATATATAATCTCATTCCTTATGAGCCTAGAAATGATTTACATGCTTAGTGGGCCTTAGTTGTCCACTTACATGTTCATTGGGCCTGGAATGTACCTTATATG